GCTGCGGCGAGAGCGCCGCAGCGGGAGAGCCGCAGCGGGAGAGCCCAGCGCCGCCGCCCCGCGAGCCCCGGGGCCCGATCCACGCCGGCTGGGGCGCGGCGGGAGGATGCGCCGCCGGCTCTGAGGACCCCCGCCGGCCCGCCGCCGCGCCCCTCTCTTCGCCGCGCCGCCGCCGCCCCGGCCGCGCGTCGCTCTCGCCATGGGCAAGGACCAGGAGCTGATGCAGGCGGTGAAGGCGGAGGACATCGGCGCGGTACAGAAGCTGCTGCAGAGGCCCAAGCCGGGCAAAGCCAGTGAGTGACCCGCGGCGGCGGCGGCGGCGGCGGGCAGGCGGGCGGGCGGCGGGGCTGCGCTCCGGCACGCCGGGCGGGGAGCTGCCGGGGAGGGAGGCCGCGGTGCCTTCGGTCGGGGGCGCCCGGGCTGGGGCGAAGCGGCGCGCGAGGAGCCCCTCGCCTCGCCAATGGCAGCGCGGCGGGCCCGTTTGCGCAGGGGGAGGCGCTCGGCCGCATTCCGTCCGCGCGGCTTGGTGGGCGACTGCGCCCGGAGGAGCGCTCCCCGTGGGGCGTAAAACACTCCGGTGGCTGCCCCCCCTCGCCGCCGCCTCCTCCAGGCTCGCTCGGCTCGCGCCCATCTCGCGGCGCCCCCCGCGCCGCTTCCTGCCGGGGCTTGCTCACACACGGCCGCACGCAGGCGGCCTGCCCGAGTGCCAGCTCGGAGTGGCACTCCGGCTTCGCGCTGGGGAGAAATTACATGCAGCGTTACTCGCGCCGCCACTTGCTGCTTCCCCCAACCCCGGCGGGCGGGCGGGCGGGCGGGGGAGGCGCCACCGAGGCGGCTTTCCCGTCCAGCCCAGCAAGCGCCGCAGCGGGGAGGGGGTCCCGCGCCTGCCCGGGGCCGGCTGGGCGCTCCTCCGGCTTGCACAGGGGAAGCAGGTGCGGGGCGAGGGCTGCAGCCCGCCGTGCTGAGCGGGATGGCCGCGCGGAAGGGAGGGCCGGTGGCCGGGCGTCAGCGTGCACCGCCCGCGCCTCGTGGCTCCCTGCCCGTCGGCGCGCAGGAAGGGGTCGCCCGGGCCCCGGCCCACGGCCCGCTGCTGCTGCGCGGGCGCGAGACGGCTTGGCAGGAAGCGGCCGCGGGACTGGCGGGCTCCTGAGCGCCTTCCCGCCCAGCCCGGGACCGGCAGCTTCGCCCGGGTTTGCTCCGGCTCGGGGACAGCTCGGTGGCCCGGGCTGCTCCTCCCTGTCGAGGGCTTGGCTGCCTGCCTTCCGCGCAGCACGGGATTCAGCGGAGGCCGAGTGTTGCGGGAGACGAGGCGGGGTTTGGGCTTCCGAAGTGCGGAGAGCCGCAGTTGAGCGGGGTGCGTAAGCTCTGAGCAGAGAGAGCCCGGCTTCCCTTCCCCTGTGCGGAACGTTTGCCCTGCGCAAGTTCAGGGTTGAGCCTGGAATGGAAAAGAGATGGCGGCTCAGGCCAGGCCTGCAGGCTGGCAGCTTGGCGAGCGGCGGAAGGCCCAGGCGCCTCCCCTGTGCCTGGGGATTCAGGCCTGGCTCAGCGCGGAGCTGTTCTCAGGGAACTACCCTGCTGTGGTGGCCGGGCTGCACGTGGGTGCAGGGTCCTGGAGGGGCAGCTCCCATGCTCTCCCGGAGGCTCCTCAGTCTTTGATTTTGGTCAGGAAGCGAGGCCGGAGCAGTGCTGCAGGACCCCTGGATTTTTGGCCCCAGGACCCCCTCCCCGCTCACCCAGCACCAGGAGCACCTTCAGCTTTCCAGCCTCGTCGCGTGCTGGGCTGCACGCTCCACCTGGCAAGCGGGCTAAATTAACCCGGGAAATTAAAGCTGAATTGCAGCTCCCTGTACTCGGGACAGAAAAACTCTAGCTGGAGGGCTGCGTGGAGCGGGACTGTATGGGGGGCCCTTGGCTTTTGATGTGGGCAGACCGTCAGGGCTCTTAAGGGGAACCTGCCGGCATCTGCTTCCCTGGATGCTCCTTACTGCCGACGACTCAGGTTGCACCGGGCCAGATGGAGAGATGTGCCATGTGCCTAGGATCTCTTGCGCTGTCTCGGAGAACATGGGGTGCATCTGTGCATGCTTGTGAGCTTGGGGTGCTATATTTGGATTGCTGCACAGCTGTACTTGTGCCCCCCCAAGTGATTTTGGAGTTGTTTTGAGAGGCCTCTCCCTAGGAGTCATGGCGGTCTGTGCTGGTAGTGTTTCCTCCCCACATTTGCCTTATTCTTCTCTGGCCAGTAGAAGGTCTCTGCAGGTTGAGGGGGGGGGGGTCGGGTGCCCCCTGCCATGTTCCCAGCATCAGCAGCTCAGTGCCAGGATTTCTCAGCAATGTTCCTCATTCACAGCGTTCCTTGCTCCCTTCCTCCAAGACCTGATGTGGCTGCAGGTGGCCGTCCGCGGAGTGGCTTTTCCTCACTTTCTGGCAGAATGCTCACTGAAGCGTCTGCCCTCCAGTGGGAGCCGCCCTGGTGGGCTTCCCAGTCGTGGGCGCCCGGCTGCACCTGCCGGCCTGCAGGATCCTGGGTGGCATCTCATGCCCAGGCCCGAAATCGCCACAGCCAAGACTTTGTGTGGGCCTGAGATGGAACCAGGGCCACCATGGCTGAGACGCTTCACAGAAACCCCAGAATTTAATGCGTGGACACGGATGACGGGCTTATTCTTCAGGAAAGCAGGATCTGCCGAAGCTCCTTGCTGTGCCAGGGGCAAGCACCCGTTCGTTGCTCGAGTTCGGTGGAACAGCTTAGACCGGTCATTGACCGACCACGTGTGGGCAAATGGAGGGCCCTGGAAGCGGAAGACAGGTGTGCATGTGCAGGGCCAGGTGGACCACCTGCCATGCGTGCACCCCTGCAGCCACACGAGAGTGCAGTGATCTCTTTTCTCCTCCCGCTGGAAAAATGCTGTGGCTGTTACTTGGGTGCCAAGAGCCTTTCCACGTGTAACCTCCAAGTCCTTCGCCCTGTCCACATTGGCACACCAAAGGCAGGAGGAGTCTGCAGCCAAATATTCACTCTAATTTTGTAGCTGAAAGTTGGAACCTTTCAAGATTGCATCCCCTAATTCTGGGCTGCTTTTCAGTGGGGTGGAGAAATCTGCCACTTCTAGTTCCTATGTTTTCCAGTCTTAAGTTTATTTTATCCAGTTTCCACATCTTTGAGCTTTTTTTAAAGTTCACATCAAAAATTGTGTGCATTATTGTGAGCAATTCTCCTAACAGACACCTATGTTTACCCAATTTTGCCCAATATGCACTTCTGTGTCACATAATATATGCACTTTTGAATGTTACTTTATGGATATCCACATATTCCTGCCCAACATCCCTTAATACATAAGCTTTTATGCCTTCTTTCATTAGAGGATTCTGTTGCAAAATTCAGAGATAACTGAATTTTGGCTCATGTTTCAGTTAGGAAGTACAGAAATGGTCCTGCATTTCTGACTTCTAGTCCCTAGGCAGCCAAGCCAGAAACTGGCCTCCAGCTCTTTGCCCCTCCACCTACCTGTCCTCGCCTCCACAGGGGTTTGGGGTAGTGCTCTGCTCCCCTCCCAGTCACCAAATTTGCAGCTGGGAAGGGTGTGGCCAGGCCTGTGTTCCAGGGAGCTCACCGCACTCCAGTCAGATCAGCCGCCTCTCCTGCAAGCATACCTTGTGGCTGGCCAGATTTTGCAGCTCCCTCCCTTAGCGTGTGTGTCTGACTCCTTTGCTACGGCCACCTCTGAGTGCCAAGTCGGTGGATGGGAAGCTGCTGCCCCGGGACAAATGTGCTGGCTTGGCCTGCGCCCGAGGCCTGGTTGGCCAACCTTGGCCTGCCTGGATTCTCTGTGCTGTGTCAGGAAAAGACCTGGGGGCGGGGGGGGGGGGTGCCAACAGGAGCCCATCAAGTCTCGGAATCCTGCAGGTGCTGTGGATGAAGAAATGAGGGCGACGTCACCTGGAGGAAGGTAGACGGAGAAGCTGGACTGGAGCCAGTCCAGCAAGGTCTGAGCTCACTGGCAAACCCCTTGCATGACTGCAGGGGGCGGGGGGCTGAAGTGCTTGCGTTGCTGTTGCTCCACCTGCTGCGCCAGGTCACCCAGGCCTGCTTGGCTCCGGCTGGCAGCAGAAGTGGGGACTGCTGTGGGCAGTTTGCACCGCACCTCAACCCACGTGGGAGCCAGAGCGGATGCAGCTCCAGCGAGCGCATCTGGCCTCCCGCTAGGCCCCTAGTGTGGGCACCAGGGCGAGGGGAGGGCAGGAAGCCGGGAGCAGTGCTGCTGGCCCCTTCCCCTGCCGACGATCAACCCTGCCAGGCAGGGGGCCGGCCCGCGGGGAAGGGCCTTGGGGGAGGCATGAGCTCTGGCAAGGAAGGGTTTTCTCTCCTGGAGGAAGTGGATGGAAGGCCTTTGTTGAAAAGTGGGTCAGTGCTTTGGATGGTGTGCTTATCCTGTACGTGTGCATTTGCCACATCCTGATGCATTTGATTGTTTCCAATGATTTTAACTGGGTTTTGTCAGCCGCTTCAAGTACCGTTCTTTGGTGTGGGGTATAAATCAAGTCCATCAATAATAGATATCTGGTAGATAGATGCCAGGCAACTTTTGCTTTTCTCACTCTGGTTTTAGTAATTCCACTTGCCTTTTATGACATTTGCAACCCTGGATTTTAATTTTTTATTTTTGGTCATTGTTTATACTGACTTCCAATTTGTTTCATTGATTTTATGCTGCTGCTAAGTTTGTTGTGGTGCTTTATTTTTTTCTCTTGTTGGTCACCCTGAAATTGTGTTTAAAAGGTGGAATATATACCTCAGACAAAGAATAAATGAACAGAAAATATGCATTCGGCTTGAGCTTTGTCTTCCATACTGGCTCGCAGGCCTTGCTAAGTCGATTCCCCACCTTCTGTTGACTTGGCTGGATGTGTGTACGCAAACAAGCAATGCTGGCCCTTGACTGCCAGTTTCACTTTGGTTTCATTCTGCCCTTGTTTGTTTTGGACTGGGCCTAGGCTTCCTGCATTTTTGCTCCGATGGGCACAGGCGTTATTTTATGAACCAGCCGGCGAGCTTTGATTGTTGGATCAGTATAGAAGCACAGCCAGGAAGTCATCTCTTCTCCAGGTGCCTCCCCAAACTGCAGGGAGGCAGGTGGCTCTGGGGCAGGACCTTTTCGGTGGCGGCACCTCCTTTGTGGAATGCCTTCCTCGGAGCAGCTTGCCTGGTGCCCTTTCTGGTGCCAGGCTAAGGCCTCTCTCTCTCCAGTGGCATTTTCGGAACTGCGCTGAAAGCCTTCCACTGCTGTTG